TAAGCCAACTTGAATAGTTGGTAATATTTTTCTTAGCAAGCTTTTGGGTTTAAAAACCCTTTGTCAGGCTGAGGAAGCATCTGCAATTGCTGTGTGCTCTTCCTGGATGGACTGACTAGTAAATACAGGAATGAATAGTAAAGACCAAACAGCAGCTGCACACCAGAATGAATGCACACCAGAAATCTATTAAAGACAAGAATACCCAATTACCTGTCAGGGCACATTTCTCACAAGGAAACCACTCTCTCTCCAGTCTCTCAGTTCTAATCCTCAAAGGGAATTTACAAAACACTTTTCACAGATGAGCCTATGAACTCTACTTCATCAACCTCCAGGATACAAAAAATCATGGACTAATGTAGAAAACTACTCTCTCCAATCTCTCAATCCTGATCCTCAAAGGAAATTTACAAAACACTTCCCAGAGATGAGCCTATGAAGTCCACTTCATCAACCTCCTGGATACTAAAAATCATGGACTAAATATAGACATTGGCTTTATGACGCATTATAACCTGCCTGACATCTGACTCCCCAGGTACCTCTCCACTATTCATCTCCCTTCTCTCCCTCCCCCACCCAGCCTGTCTCTCACCCATTTACTCCTCAGTCTACATCTTCACTGACTGCATATCTTGTATGCATACCAGCCCAGCCTCTGGCTTCTTTACTTTTCATTCTGTCCAGGAAGAGCACACATCAACTGCTGAAACTTCCTTAGCCTAATGAAGGGTTTTTGAACCTGAAAGCTTGCTTAAAAATTATTTTCCAACTATTTAAGTTGATCTAATAAAAGATATCAGATTCACACAAAGAACTTTGTCCATGTATGGACTAAATATAGACATTGGATTTATGACACATTATAACCTGTCTAACATATGACTCCCCAGGTACGTCTCCACTGTTTGCCTGCTATATTCATCCCCCTTCTCTCCCACCCTCCGGTCTCTCGCCCACTAACTCCTCAGTTTACATCTTCACTGACTGCCCTACTTGCATGCGTACCAGCCCCTGGCTTCTTTACAATTCATTCTGTCCAGGAAGAGCACACACCAACTGCAGATGCTTCCTCAGCCTGACAAAGGGCTTTTAAATCTGAAAGTTTGCTAAGAAATTTTTTTCCAACTATTCAAGTTGGTCTAATAAAAGATATCGGATTCACCCAAAGAATTGTCTGCCTATGTCCTTAGACCAACACAGCTACAACCTACACCTCTAGTACATTGGCAGTGGTGATTCTGAAGGTCAGAGGATCAGAGCCTGTATACTAAAATGTTGTAAGCAGTGGTTTTTGAGGGGAAAATATCATTTGTTCTAAAATCTGGTGAGTTCAGTGACAAAACATTAGTTAGAGAGAAGAAACAGACACTGATGAAGTAGCCATCTGTATGTGGAGAACAAGGATCGAGTTAAAATATTACGTGGAGAGAGAGAAGCTGAGCTGGTCATTTGGAAGCAGAATGATAGCTAAGACTGTAAACAGGTACAGGGAATGGATTAGGAGTATGCAGAGTTAGAGCAGATGCCTAGTATGTGAGGTAGGTTATAACACTATAGGCAGTGCACTAGTGTCTCACTACTTACCTATACATATAGGGAACCCTGCAACAAATACTTTTAGAAATCCTCTGGCCAAATGAAGTAATTGCAAGTGCTGACTCAGGGGCTCATATTTATAGGGCCTAGAAAAGACTATGGGATTTCATCCTTTCTTTAAGACCAGTGACAGCAGGTTACAAGGGGCTGAAAGATGCATTGGAAGATAGGTAGCCCCACAATCAAAACCTGAGCAAGAGTCCTCACTCATCTTTTAAGGATTGTAGTTGAAACATGGCTTTCTTTTAAAACCAAGCACCTACTTTGATGTTTGCCTGAATTTTGTCACGAAATGTATGCCTCAGTTATTGATGACCAGGTCAGTATGTCTTGGGCTTATAGTGGTTAGATTTCTCATCTACCCAAAACTCCCATCCAAGTCTCAGCATTATAGGGCACTGAGGTCATTTGAAAGCCAGGTCCAGGTTTCCTCAAATTATACCCCAAAACGGAAGCATCCCTGTGGCAGGGCACTGCGGTTACCTGCTACTTTAAGGTCCTGGAGCTGGCAGCTGGCAGGTGCCTGATTAGGGCAGCCATTTCAAATCTGGGGCTGCCCATATAAACAGGGCAGCTCTGCCACTGGAGGCCAGGCGACAACATTGCCTGGCTCGAGGGCTGCTGTTATCATCTGGAGGTAAGGGGGGAGCTGTAGGGGATAGTAAGGAGGCTCCTGGTCCTGGGTACAACCTAAAACTGCACCCTGCCAGGAGTGGGTGGCCTGGTGGGGGTCCCAGTGGTACAAAAGCCCCAGGAAATGCCAGGCCAGTTACAACCGTGTGGGTGACCCCTTGTTGGAGGTTCTGGAGGGTGGACCCCTGGAGAGACAGAAAAGGCCATAAACTCAGGCCTGTGTGGACCTCCCCTGACTGGTCAATGCTGGGGCCAGGACTGGAAGGGTCGAAGGGCTGAGGGCCCACTGAAAGGAATGTCCAAGAGCTAAGGCCCTGGGGTCCTGACTGGCCTGGAGGTGGGCCAGGGCTAGTAGCCAAAGGTCCCAGGGGGACCACACCCGAAGGGGAGGCGGTTCAGAGAGCTATGCTGCCCAGGATGAAGGCGGGTGAGACCGCCTGAGGAGAGGAATCCAGGTGGGGTTCAATTAGGAGGATTCTGGGGTCCAATGTGGGCAGCCTCCCACTTAATTACATCATTAACTAATTACCAACAAGGCATGGCAGGCAGGTAGCCCAGAAACAGGTGGGCAGGCCCCTGGGAAGTTGGCCCCAAGCAGGCCCTTCTGAAAGTGTAGCAGTGTATTAAGTCTCAGTTAAGGCTGAATGTATCAGACTTGTTGAACTTTACATTAAATGTAACTTTAGCTATGAGATGGTGAGAGAATTTTTTTTTCTCAGAATTGGAGCTCTTTTCCAGTTTTTGCAACAGAGAGCACAATATCAGAAATTGCTCTTCCCAGAAAGCAGCTTTCATATCTCTGTCTTTCTCTCTCTATCAATGCAGCCTAACGTCGTTTCAGCTGATGGCACTTTGCCACTGAGTGATCCTACTATGGCCACTTTCAGTGACACAGGAAGATTTCACATAGTGCAAAGGCTGTTCGCCTCATCAAACATTAACCTCAAAATGACAGAGTCTACAGTAAAAGCTGTAACTACGAAAGAACCTAGATTTTTTCCATTCATTCTTTATATTGCATTGTATGGGTTTTATGCTTTAGGTGGGAACTTGTAAGGGTATCTCTGTGTATTGCAGTATGTTCAATTATTATTCTAGCCTGTTCTTTCCTCTTATGGTACATCTGTGCTGCATTCATATCTATCTGCAGTCTAGTAGACATAGCCAAGATAGCTTCAAACTAGGTAGCTCAGATATCAATAGGAGTCATGGCATAGCAATACAGACCCCAGCATGGCCTTGTTAAACCTGCCCATTTACCTGGACATATACATAGATAGCCTGTGCTCACATCCATGCTGCTGCAGGTACACAGCTACCAGCTAGCTTCTTTAAAGCTACCTGTGGTGCATCTACTTTCTACTACAATCATAGCAGTGACACTAGTATACACAGACATTAAGGACTAAAGAGGCTAGAATAATAGCTGAACAGACTGCATGAATAAATAGCACATTTGAAGTGCAATTGAGTCCTGCTAATTTGTACTAATGTGACTGGGAGATGACTGCAAATTACTAAATTTGGTAACTGAGTTGGTGGATAAGCATGGAAAATCCAAGGGCATTGCATCCCAACATTGCATTGTTTAGATTTAGTGCCTATTCCTATAAAACATTTTTGAGCACTGCTCAGCTCAGCCTTGGGGGAATTCAGTAATGTGCATGGTCAGACTTTTATTTGACCCATTGGAGCTCAGATTTATTTATGCTCATACTCCAGATGTAGCAAATACCACGTCTTTTGTATACAATTTCCTAAAACTAATAAAATCTTTGTGATTACACCAGTGTACAATATCTGTTCTTCTATGTGCTGATTACTTTTTGTTGCAAGCTAGAAAGCTTTGGCCACATACTGCATTTAATGCCTGCTACACTACCCCTTCAAAAACACAATGCATGCTTTTGATGTTTGAGTACAAGGGTTACACTAGTCTAGAAAACCCAGTTGTTTTACCCCCAGGACATCTCCTGGTGGATTGTATTTAATGAAAACAAAGTGTTTTATTGCACACATTACTTTATCTTTCATCTTGGTTCCTAATAGCTTTCTCTGAATATCTAAATGGGGAGAAAGTACAGTGGAAATAATTGTCAGTACTGGTTTGGAAAGATTTCTTTGCAGATACGTCTAATAATAATGTTTTCATACCACATAGCTGACTGCAAAATAAACAGAGACACCACTGAGAGAGTGTACATAGTCAGAGAGTATGGCTTAGTAATTAGGACAGTTGTTTCAGACTCTGGAGACCTGGGTTCAGGCTTCTGCTCCCTTCCTGGGTGGTCTTGAGCAAGTCCATTAAGGCCACATTGTCAAAGTGTACTTCTTCAGTAGCTAAAGATGCACAAAGCCTTCTATGTGGGATTTGAAAACACACTTAAACTGTAATTTCAGTGAGAGTTAGGCATTAAGTGACACTCACAAAAAGCACCTAATTATGCAACCTACCTACATATTTAGGGGTTTCTGGTACCTAAAAATATGGCCATTAGTCTTTTTTTTGTTTCAGTTCCTCATCTGTATAATGATGATGATAAAGATTGTGAAGGTGCTCAGTGTCTGTGGTAATTGAGGTCATATAAGTGTCTGTCTGATTGGTAGATGCAAGCTTTTATCAGTTGCTGTCATTGCACGTGTTTGTCAGTGAACAAGGAATTGTATCAGAAGTCCTTTGGTCTGCTATTACCAATCCCTGTTTTAAAAAAGCATTTCTATTCCAACAGTGCATTTATCAGATTTTTCTTCTTAAACATTTTATGTGAAAATAGTGGAATGATTAATAACCTAGTTTCACTTTATCCCCACTGTTTATGCATTATAAAAATAGTGATTCTTCTGGGAATAGCACATGAAGAACTAAAGGACACATGAAAGTCTGTTTGGCACTACTTCCCAATTGATTGAGATCTGATCTTATAAATAGTTTGTGATAAGCCTGTGTACACTGTTTTGCCCAGTTATTTTTATGACGGTATTTAATGAGGGCAGCATACGCCTTTCTTTCCCAGTTACTTCCCCCTATTGCTTTTGTTTCCACTTTTAAAAATGAGAGCCTTTTTCTCTAAAGGTAATACTTGCTCTTACAGCAGTTCCACGTTCAGAATTATTTGGTGTTTGCCATTTGGTAGACATACTGCAAGTTCTCAGGTACCTGTAAATAGGAACTTTTAAGGCCAGTCCTAAACAGCATGTTTCTCCTTGTGTTTCTAAGTCTGCCAAACTGGCACCAGGAATATTTTGGCTAGATTTATCTGGGAAATGTTATCTTTTACCCAGTGTGTTGCTGTTTATCACCTTCATTTAATAACCACTCTGGATTGCTAGGCATTGTTGACATGGAAATGATTTAAGTATTGTAAAAGTTAAATGGGGGAACAGAATAGCAACCAGGTGCTGGGAGTTGTTTAGAATCATGAAGCCAAATATTCATTACATGGGAGATGAAGTTGCTGAGGAGCACATCTACTCTCTACACCCTTCTAGGATCTGGAAGTCAAGAGTTGGGAATAAAAACGGGCTGAAAACCAGGAATTGCAGAGCTAAAAGTTGTGGGAGGATGTGATTTGGGAGGCATTATTGTGAGCAAATCATGGTGCCATATTCTTCCCTTCCCTATGGTATTTGGTAGGGAGTGTACTGGGGAAATTGTAAGGAAATCTGAATTTCTAAAACCCTTTGATCAATGTTGCTGCATGGATCCTGTGATCTTTCTGAGGTGGTTGTTTGAATTCTGGTAACCAGCTGCCAGCATGCCCAGGATCAATAGTGTTACACACAGCACAGTGGGAGTACACGTGTAAGTGCTGTGACCTGAAGTGCTAGCAGGACAGGAGCTCTCTGCTCTCATCTGTGGTGAACACAGGCAAAAAAAACAGCCACAGGGCTGCTTCCTCTGCACAAGCTCTTAACTCCTGAGGAGGGAGCTCTTTACCCCCATCTATGGCTGTAGAAAAATCTAAATTTGCAAAAACCTTCCATCCAGAATTTCTCTCTCCAGACTGGGAATTGTCAATCAGGCTTACTGGTTCTGTCAGAACTGGAACCTACTGGTTCTGCCTGAGAAACTGGTTAAGTCCTAAGACAGGAGGGAGGACAGTGTGATAGCCTAAGTTTAGATACTGAAGTTGTGGTCACAAATGGGCCAGGAAGCCAGAGTAGTGGTACATAAAGACAGCAAAAGCGCAAGGATCCAAAATCAGTGCAGGCACTGGAGACTAAGTGTGAGCTGGGAACCAGGGCTGCAAGCACAAGGCAGGCCAGGATCAAGCAGCCAAAGTTTGAAGAGAGATCACACTAGGATTAGGAGCCAAAGAGTCAAGAGCTCCACAGAGCCTTCCAGGGTCAGATGCTGAGACAGGCCAGGAGCCAGAGTCAAGAATAGCTCAGGGGGCAGAAGCTGAAAGTTGTCATCAGGAGCAAGTCAAAGGTCAGAAGCCAGATACAGCTACCAAGAGCACAAGAGCAGGTATGAGAATCACGGCAAAATGGTAGAATCAGGGCAGGTTAAGTTCACCAGGAGACTTATACAGAGAGTTTTTAACTGTCTGCCTTCCTGCTTTGAAGGTTGTGTTTGGGGCAGAGCCACCGGCCTGCTAGCAGCAGGAGTCAGTGATAGGCTGCCAAAGGGGGATGGCTTATTTACCAAATGACTCATCACATCCTCCAGAGACAATTTGGCAGCTGCCACTGGGGGATACAAACTAGAGTTGATTGACTGGACAGTATAGCTGACCTGAGGCAAGCTCCAACCAACCTCCTAGTGAGAAAAGAGAAGGTTTTTTTCCAGGTAACTGGAGTTCTTTAAGATGGGCTTTTTAAGGGCGTTGCATGTTTCCTACTTCTTTGCCTCCTGTCAGCCTCTGAGTACGAGGAGAAGGATGGGGTGTGGAATCTACATAGAGGTCACAACTCAGAGCACTCCATTAACTGGGAAGGCACTTCTTTCTTCTTGGAGTACTTGTCCACATACATTCCCACTCGAGGGTGACTGTGAACAACTGCATGTAGCATTACACCTCAAAGTTATAGTTACTGAAGGACAGTCATGTCAGATGAAAGGCTCCAGTGAAATGTTCTTTTGGGGGCACTCTTGGGGCATCAGTGATAGCACTGTGTTGGTAATGGAGTGCATGGAGCTCCAGATGGCTGTCTTGGACTGAATTTGTCTGGGCGCCAGTGAACTGTTCTTTAAATGTTCTCTAGCAGAGATTAGCGGATCCATATTGGCAATTTCATAGGACACCTTGATGCAGCCTAGGATTCATTTAGATTGTCCGCAGGCAGAAATCACTATTCCTTTTAATTTTTGGTTAAGGCAACAAACAGCCATCAGTATTTCTGGAAGGGCATTGTCCTGCACAATTAAAGGAACCAGACTCACTTCATATTGGATGTTGCAGCAGCTTTTCCTCTAGTACGTAGTTGTCCCAAATCTGACACAGCACCACTGACTTGAGTGTCAGACTTCCACCATCCCATCTCCAGTTACATCATTTTGTTTTAAACCACAGATTGATTTGGTGATCCAGCTGGAGCTGTAGTCTCTGCTACTTTGACTGCCTTTGCCAGCCCTGTTTCCAGATCTGCCAGCCCTGTTACAGGGCTCCAGCTTCAGTCATTGCTCCAAACCTATTAGCACCATTTTATCACACTCTTCCTTTGAATCTGAGGTTGACTGCTGACTTACCTGGCTATGTGCACTATTTTCTGCAGGCTGACCAGCCAATCGCGCCAGCAGAGGTGGGGACAAAAGACACCCCCTCCCCACCATTCAGATGGATGGGTGGGTGAGGGCCAGGTAGCGCCACAGTGTGCTGTACAGGGCCGGCCAGCCAGCGCATCCCTCCCCTCCCCTCTCCTTCCCTTCTCTCTCCCCAGGGTAAGAGGCAAATGCACTCGGGAAGACGCTGCCACTGCGCCCTGGGTGTGCTCCCTGTAACCTGAGTACCCCTAACACGTGCCCCCTGTAACCTAAGTACCCCTAGCAGTATGCCTACACCTGGTTGACCACCCCGTGTATTAAAAGGCAGGGTAAAAATGATTTTTATACACTATAATGTACAGTAGTCAAGTCCCTAACCCCATTTTTCCCATAAGTCTTTAGTTTTGCCAACCACAGGAACTTAACTTAACCCCTGTGGCTGGCAAGGGAAACCTGTACTTAAGTGCACCACTCATGACTCTAGCAACCATAGTTGGAAACTTGTAATTGTTGTTTTCTTTAGCCCATAGTCATGCAGTGTCTGGTCAGGGTTTTTAAGACAATTCCTTAGTTCTTGTTAATAATACCTTGTTTTCAGTACTTTGTCAGTTCATTTCATGTCAGGTCTTTGGTGCCTCAATATGCAGATTTTGGCACATTGAGTGGCTGTACTTGGAGTCTTCCACATGGGTGTAGCAATGTTTCATAATCGCAGAAAAATGTGGATTTGGGGGAGGGGGGGTTAAATCAAAGAATTTTGGATTTTTTTTAATCAGAGAAAACCAGAATCCCTGCTGATTACAACTATTACACTACATTTAGTAACCAAAACTCTAAAAGCTTAGGGAGTTCTGTCTTCCTTACTACAGGGAGTACAAGATCCAGAAATAAGAATCCTGCCCAGGATAAATCTCTAAGGAGGTAGAGGGTGTAGGTCCTGCTAGACTATGGATTAATACAACTACAGGTCAGTGCACATACAGAGGTCCTGCTAACAGCATGAAGCAAAATAGGACCAATGAATACAAACCTAGGCATACTGTATGTGGCTTGCACAGAAATTGCTGGGAAAGTAGCTTTTTAGTTTTAGAGGAGCCTCTAAGGCCAACAGATAGAGAGTAAACTGATGAGACTAGTACAGAATGCCAAAACAAAGATAGGGACACCTGTTTGCCAAGTCATTTATTTGGTGCACTAATTGGTGAGAAGTAGGATGTTGGTGATGCCACCTGAAGATGTTTCAGTAATTGATGAGAACTAGGATGTGTATGCCATAAATACAAAGTTGTTTTGATCAGTGTGTAAAAAGGAGCCTGGCAATCCTCAATACTTCACACTGGGCTTAGTGGTTATGTTTACACCTGTATCATGATTGCAAACAACCCACCTAGCATCATGGACCAACTGTTGTGTCCAGGCTTGTGTGTAGACAATAAACCTGGCTGAGCTCTTTATCATAAAGAGACAAAGCTTTTCTTTCTTGTAACAATCAGATTAAGGACATGACATAACTGATGGTATCTTGACAGCATGTGCACAGACCATCCAAACTGAAAAAACCTGACATGACTGGCAACACCTACTCCCCTGCACACTACCAATAGAGTCAAATTACACTAACCGTCTGCCCTGATGATACTGGTGACTCTAGACACCTATGGGGAGTTCTAACAGCATAACCAGAAACATCATGACAATTTTCACTGGACATTTAAAGATTGCAGTGGTACACAAACACCAAAATGCTTCTGGATAATCAAGAAATGGGAAAAGTCCTCCCTGATATTTTTATAATGGGATTGCATCCCATTCACTCCCTGTTCTCTCAGTTACTCTTCAGATTTATCTTATTTTAAGCAATTTGTCTAGTAGCCTCTCACAAGAGTTTCATCAGCTATCACATATCTGAACTAAACATTAGGACCACTGCTGTGGTTTCAAACACACGCACAGAAAGAATGAGAAGAGATCTTTAAAATATTTTTGAAGGCATGAGTTCATATCTTTTTCCATTCAACTTACAATGCAGACTTCATCTAATTTTTATGTGCCAGTTTCTCTCACCCACTTCTTAGAACATTCATGGCTTATGAGCTCATTAAAACTGTTTTTAATAAAGTTCACTATGTTAATATCTGTAAACTGAAAACCTGCAATCTGAGCCATGTGGTCTCTTTAGCTAATATGTAACTCCCACATGCACTTTAACAAGACTATACAGACAAAAATCAAAATTTCTGGGAGTATGAGGGAAACAGGTATGCAGCCCATTTTCTATAATGGATACATAACTGAAATTTAAAACAACAGATGACACTGGTTAGGTATTACCTGAGGTATACTCTAAGGTGAAGTCTGACTGTCAGTTTACATGCCCGGTTAAGGTTCAGATCATATCTAAAATCAGAAAATAACTAATTTACATTTTTCCCAATATTAAATCTTTATTATATACAAAAATAGTTTGTTAGGAATTAACAATTTCACAGATTTGTACATTAACATATTAATGCTGGACTATACAGAACATGAAAAAGTTACTTGTGAAAAAGACAATAGGATAATGGGGGCACCTTAAACAAAATATGATTAAAATGTAGTCCTACATATGAACTCATTTTATATATGTAAAGCTGTAATGCCAGCAGTTCCCACCCATTGGGCATCTTCTATAGTACTGAGTTTCTTAGGTAAAAATTTAATTACTAAGTGATTTTCACATTACAAAATTTAAATTCAACAATCGGTCAGTGTGGCAGAAAAGGTTCTCTTTTATGTTTTTTGCACTACTGAGAACTGTATACACTAGAAGACAGCAGTTTAAAACTCAAGTCCAGTTTTTAAATTCATTAGTTTATAGAAAAGGCATGCACATTAATTTCCAAAATGAATATCACACTTGAAAAAACAAGCAAAATAAGTTAAATCTCAACTCAAGATGATGGACACATTTAATATCAGTGTAACTTGACCAAAATACTGAATCTCTTATCCCAGTTCCTGAAAAAGTAACTTCAGGCTACAGACTCCTTTCAGTATTAGTAGGCCGCCTTACTGTACCAAAATACATAAGAACATATACATAGGCAATGGATCATTTGTGGAAGTAAAGACATGCATTTTTAAAAGAAAGAAAAGTCAATGTCAGAGGTGATTTGCATATTATATGGAGTACACTGTACTGTATTTTGAAACAAAAATCCAGTTTAAACTGGCCACCCCACTACTATTTGCAGCCCCCACTACATGTACTGTTTGAGGACAAATAGTACAAAGTGACTTTATTACCCATTTTCTAGAGAAATGCCTGCTGGCCCACCTATGGGGCAATATTTACGTTAGCCATGGCTGTGGCCAGTTAACCCATCCTTAAGCCTGATGAAGTGTTGGATGCAACCTCATTAAAAAAGGCGCGGGGGGGGGGGGGGGGGGGAAATTTGGGGGG